TTGCAGCGAAGGGTGAACAATTTGTTTGCGTAGTAAGGGATGGTAAAAGCACTATCTGGGAAGAAGCCAAAGGGTACGTCAGATACCGATTGGGAAGAGCTCGAGCCACGAGCAGTTGATACAATTCGACTTTGTTCGACGAATAAGATCATGTATCACGTCATGGACGTTGAGTCTCCGACAGAGGTTTGGGAGAAATTGGAGTCATTATATTGGAAATATCTTACAAACAAGCTACATCTGAAGCAGCAGCTGTACGGGCTCAAGATGTTGAAGGATACAGATCTGATTCAACACACCAATATTTTCCATCAAATTATCAGCAATTTATTGCGACTTGAAATCAAGTTTGATGATGAAGACAAGGCAATGATATTGTCGTGCTCTCTTCCTCCTTCGTACAACTACTTGGCGACGACACTAACGTGGGGTAAGGAAACTCTCAAATTGGAAGAAGTCACATCAGCCTTTTGGCCTACAACCAGCAGAAACTGCGTACTAGCTAAAGTTCATAGAGAAAAGGACTGATCGTTGAGGGCTACCAGAATCGTGGGAGAAGGAAGGACGGGGCTGGTCCTTACAAAGGAAACATGAGATCAAAAACTAGGAATCAAAATTAGAAAAAGTTAAATGCTACAAATGCCATCGAATGGGCCACTTTAAGAAAGACTGTCAGAATAAGAAGTCGGGTGATGAAAGGAAAGGTGATGAGTCCTCAAACTCAGCTAGTGCTGCAGAAAGAGACTCAAATTCTGGAGATGAAGACATGCTATGAGTCTCTGTAGGTATTTCTGAAAAATTACATAACTGTTGGGTACTTGATTCAGCCTATTCATATCGTCCGAGTAATTTTGGATCTGTTCTGATGGGTAATGATGCATCATGTAAGATCATTGGAATAGGGTCCATAAAATTTAAAATCTTCAATGGTGTGGTAAGGACCTTGGAGAATGTTAGGCATGTACCAGAATTGAGAAAGAACCTAATTTCTTAAGACACAAATGGTTATTCTTATAAGTTAGTGTGTGGAGCCTTGACGGTGGAGAAAAAGGCTATGATTGTGATGAAGTGTCAGAAATTAGTAGGGAATATCTACAAACTACTCAGGAATACAATTATATGTGGAGTTGCTACAACAAAATCTAAGTCAAATGACACTCTTCTATGACACATGCGACTGGGGCATATAGGAGAGTGTGACATGGTTGAGCTTTACAAGAGGAATTTGTTGAAGGGGTAAAATCATGCGAGCTGGATTTCTGCAAGTTTTGTGTACTTGGAAAACAATCTAGAGTATAGTTCAAGATTGAAAAGCACAAGACATGGCATTCTTGATTACGTGCACTCTAATGTTTGGGGATGCAGTCTTTGATAAAGCATTTATGCTTAAAGCTTCTCCAGATAAAGAGAAGCTTGGTTCAGACGAGGACAGCAACAAGAGCCAAGTGGTGCAGGTAAAGCTAAACAATGTTGACATAGAGATTAACGCTCAGGGAGCGGATAGTTCTCGATCAGAGATAGAGCAGTATCATAGTATTGCCATAAATAGACCACGTCGCACTAACGGGCCACTAATGAAGTATGGATTCTAGGATTCGACTTCTTATGCACTCATTACCAACAATAACGATCCTATTACTTTTCAAGATGCCATTGGTAATCAGGAGAAGGGTAAACAAATAGAGGCTATAACGGAGGAAATTGAGTCACCGCATAAAAATGATACTTAAGAATTGGTGGAGCTTCCAGAGGGGAAAAAACCGATAGGGTGTAAGTGGATATACAAAAAGAAAAAAGCAATGTCAGAAAACGAAGGAGAAAGATACAAGGCTCGATTAGTACCAAAAGGATACTCACAGAGGAAGAGAGTAGATTATGATAAAATTTTCTCTCCAGTCGTCAAACACACTTCCATCAGGATTGTTTTGGCAATGGTGGCTTGTTTTGATTTGGCGTTAGAGCAACTAGATGAGAATTTTGCTTTCATTCATGTTGATTTGGAAAAGTAGCTAGTGAGGTTCTTGGAACCCGAAAAAGAAAATCTTGTGTATAAACTAAAGAAATATTTATACAAGTTTAAGCAATCTCCACGGCAGTGGTACAAGAAGTTCGACTCTCATATGATTCAGATTGGCTACAGTCGTTGTATGATTGTTGTGTTTACAACAAAGTTCTTAAGGATGACTCATATATTCTCTTGATGTTGTATGTGGACATGTTAATTGCTACTAAAAAATGAATGAGGTAGACAGATTAAAATCTTTATTGAGCAGCAGGTATGATATGAAAGACTTGGGACCGGCTAAGAAAATACTTGGCATGGAGATCAACGGAGATAGGAAAGCCAGAAAATTATGAGTGTCTCAGAAAAATTATTTGAAAAAAGTGTTAGAGAGATTTAGCATGTCCAATACAAAACAAATTGTTACACCATTGGCAAATCACTTCAGATTGTCTAATAATCAATACCCAAAGATTGAAGAAAAAATAGCAGAGATGTCAAAGGTACCTTATTCCAGCGCACTTGGTTGTTTAATGTAAGTAATGGTGTGTACCAGACCAGATCTAGCACATGCAGTCAGTGTGATTAACAAGTATACGGCTAATCCCAATAGAAAGCATTTGAGAGCTATAAAGTAGACTTGAAAGGTACAATGGAGTGTGAGATCATGTTTAAGAGACATCATGATGTTTCAGTTCAGGGATACGCAGATGTAGATTATGCAGGTGACTTGAATGACAGGAGGTCCCATACAGGTTATGTTTTCACACTCGCAGGTGGGCCTATATGTGGAGATCAATGGTGAAGTCACCTGTGGCATTATCTATAATTGAAGCAGAGTACATGGCAGCAACTGAGACAGCCAAGAAATTATTGTGGTTGAGAGGGCTTGTAAGGGAACTTGGGATCAAGCAAGATGGAATGAAGCTGTATTGTAAGCTGTACTGTAATAGTTAGCTCTTAGCGAAGAATCAAATTTATCATGCAAAAACCAAGCACATTGAAGTGAGATTTCACAAGATAAGAGAGTTACTTACTTCAGGAGAGCTGTTGCTAAAGAATGTGCATACCTCAGAGAATGCAGCAGACATTATGACAAAGTCAATCAAAATGGATAGGTTCAAGCATTGCTTGAGCTTGATTAACATATCAAGTGTTAGAGAGGATGTGTCTCAATCCATTGGTCCTAGACAGTGTGATTTCCCAGGTTTTTTTCCTCCTAAGGAGTGAATATTCGTCAAGATGGAGATTGTCATGTATGTGACTTATATAGAGTGGAACACAGGTTTCCTTAATCAAATAGGACGATGCCATCGCTTTACTCCGTTCTGTTCGATGCGCTGCGCTCCCCTCACTCCACTCCGCTCCGGCATCGACCTTGTGTGGGTTTAATTCATTGTCTAGTTGATAGAGACGTTGAATTGGTTAGGGTGCGGGGCAACACCCCCGTGGTACGATAGGGGGATTTTCTTGTACGGGCCTCGAAGTATTGAATGGGCTTGGGTTAGGGTTAGTATAAATAATAATGTTGTAACCCTATTTTTCATACTGAATAAAATTATCTTCGCTACGCTCTCGTGGACGTAGGCATATCGCCGAACCACGTAAATACTTGTGTTGATTTCTCTCCTCTCTTTATTATTGTGCATAAAACCCAACATGTGCTGCCTCCAAGGGTGGCATTTTTACTATTAAATGTTGTCAAGGGACAAGTGTTAACTACAAATAATCTCTGAACAAGGGGATTTTTATATTAAGAGTGGTGCTATATGTTTAGGTGTGATGGGAGACAATTGATCATTTGTTCCTTAACTGTGATGCTGCTCGTTTACTGTGAGACGATATTCTGATATCTCAACACATGGATTTGGGTGATACCGATACGTATTGAAGATTTGTTAAACGCATGGAGGAAAAAATTTCGGGACAAGGATAGCAAGCTTGCATGAAACCTTATTCCGAGTTGCATCGTATGGTGTGTGTGAAGAAAAAGAAACACCCGTTGTTTTGATGATAACATGGACAATAAAGCAGATTAGGGAATTATTTTATTTAGCATTGTATACTTGGTTTAATGATGCGACTAGTAAGCATATAAATAGGATATCCAATTTTATGTTGTTCCTTTCTGGTGCAAATTAATAATACACTTCCTGTGTATTTTCCATTGATTAATAAAATATTTAATTTCCTTTAAAAAAAATCCATAACTACGTCAATTATATGAAATAATGGATGACTATTCCATCTCTACATTCTTTAAAAGAAAACTTGAACCATTAATGCTTCGACGTTTAAATGTTTACTAGGTGTTGAGGCCAGCAGTTGATTAGAAGGAATAAAACATAGTTTCGGACTTAATACTAGACCCAGCAGTTGGATGCTAGTTCATTTTAATATTTAACATGTAAGAACGTAAAGTAATACCATATTCCATCTCCCACAATTAGCATTGCATAGTAACAATTTAAAAATACTAAATATTGAACATTAGACACATTAATTTAGGTTAGAACTAATTTGGTGTCGAGAAACATAAAACCAATATTATATACAAACAATTTGAAAGTAGTAGTTCCTAAACATTAAAATCACTAATATTGGGTGGAACAAAGCTAGTTCTGAAGAAATTGATCGGTTATTAAATATTAAACCAAGCTGGTTGGCTGTAATTTTAGGGCACAAATGAAACGCTGGCAGCCTGACAGTTCGGTTGCTGAAATAATTGATGATATATGTCAAAATAAATTAAGAGTGCAGTACTTTTTTGCTGAGCCAACCCATGTCATTGTTTGATGGTCAATGTCGTGTAACTTATCCTAGAAATTACATAATAAACAAATTTAAGATCTGATTACAATGGCGAAAATTGGGCACAGATGATATATGGCTCATAATTTGGATCCCCAAGACTAGAGCATTCATATCCAACGCCGCCACTACCAAACATATGAACTTAGAAGAAATACGTAAGAGGTATTGAAGGATCAATGTTTACCAATGTTTTTTTTGAATCTGCGGAAGTGGTTGGACACTTCAACCTTGCAAACAATTCCTGAATGAAGGTGCTGTCATCTTTCAACAATGAAACAACCTACGGCAAACAACAGAATCGGGATGGAAACAAAAAAAGAAAAGATGTTTAAGAGTTGAACCAACTCGGGCAGTAACATACGGTTGCATTATTTGAATGAATTATAGAATTAAGACTTGCAATGGTGGCCTCATCCAATGCTCTAGGCAAAATGACATCCTGCCAGAGGAATTACAAAGAATAAGTTATCATTTATAGAACAAATTATGAACAACAAGATCCACTTCAAAGCATCAACAGCATCACCTTCAGATAACCGATCCTGTAAGTTTGATGAATCTTGGAAAGGACTAAAGGGTCTTTAATAGGCATAGCCTGAAATATGCCACATAGAATTAGGAATGAATAAAAATATGACATGCACATCAAGCAACTCATTCTGCCCATCCTTCAAATAACAACATTTCGACAAGCAGGACTTCCTTTATCTTTTTCTTTTTCTTTTTTTCTTTTTTTCCAATAGAGGGGAGCGGGTGTTCTGAAGAACGTACCTCCTTGAACACTACATGCTCTTTTAAAAAACTGCGATGATGAACATGAGGTACATCGGGATCAACTGCAAGTAAAATGTACAGAAATTCATCATTACAGTCAGAGCGAAGGACCAAGTCGACATATCCAATACAATGAACAAATCATGTAAATACTCTATTAATCCAAAAAGGTATTCAATATAGAACAAAGATCTACATGTGAAGATCAATTATATCAACATTTACGGGAATGAGACCAGAAGCCAAACCCCTGCAGAGCCCTTTTTCATTTCGAGAGGCAGCATTAGATAATGTTTACAGCTACTAGGGAATAAAAATTAGGGGCTCGTGTTCTTATATATATGCCCGAGCAAAATAGAAGACCATCTGACTTTGAAAAAATAAAACTGAAAACATAACAAAAGAAATCAGCTGACACTTGACATCATTAAGGGAAGATGATGGCCCAACATCAATTAGGTAGAAGTTGAAGTACCCGAAATCTCCTTGTTCAGCTGCAAACAAGCTAAGTACCATAATCCATTAAAGCTTGTAGAAGCCATCGTTGAAGCAAATAACAAAGATTTCAGGACAAAGAAACATTTGTATTTGGCTGCTCCACGAGTAAGGGGATTCAGATTATAACCTTGATGCTGGTGCCAATTTAAGAGGGGGGGGGGG